CCTATCTAAAAGGTGGGAGGAGTGAAGCAAAGCCAAAGCTGGGGTTGGCAAAGAAACCGCAGTCATTCATATTAGCCAAAATAATAAGGGATGTTTGGTCATTTTTGTGGTTCGGACAATGTTCATACTTTTGCCTGTGTTCAGATATGACTGATCATGTTTTTATGTTGATCTATCATGGTCACATAGTGGCCTTGTCTGGTGTTGTTTGGTGAAATTGTCGATTTTGACAGAACACCAAGGCCTGCCTAATAAATAGTACCAGGTCAGCTCCCAGATGCTGGAGCTTATAACCCACACCCATTCTTACCTTTTATCAAGCTGTTTCTCTGCCTAGGATACTCGTCTCCCTCTCCCATACAACTCTACGAAACCCGTTTCCCTGTGAGGTTTTCCTAAATACTTTCTCCATTTGATGATTTTTTTTTCTGAATGCATCTAAAAGTCTTGGTTGGCATGCTACAATTTAGTACTCAGCTGTGTTCTACCTTGAATTATTTGACTTGTTTCAGATTGTTTTTCTTCTCAGTAGGTTGTAAACCTTTTAGAGGCATCTCTCTCATTTCAGTATCCACCCAGAAATGAGCACCCTGCTGAGGTGAAACTAATGGCGGGTCTGAGTAAAAGGGAGCCAGCTTGCTTTTGTAACAGCTTTGAAAACACTGCTACCAGACAGCAGGGGAGAAGCCACCAGCTTGCCCAACAGGGTGGCTGCCATTGGTAACACTCTGAGCTGATCTTCCCATCAAAAAGCATCTTCGAACTTTTCTTCCGGGGCATTCATTTTTTTCCCCAAGAGTTACATTTTGAAATGCCTTTCATCCTTACCTGTCCTTGAGAGCACGCTTTACTGTTAATGCATTTTTGTATCCTCTTACCCTACCGAAGTGCCTGGCACTGGGTTTAGCGGGTGGAAGAAAAGGCCCAGCAGTCCACAACTAACCCCGGCTCCTGCCTGGTTCATCGCAGAAAGTGAGGTGCACCCTTATCGGGCTAGGCGGGCCAGCGCAGCCTCACCTCTGAGGGTCACTGCCTTAGCGTTTGGCAGAAGTTAGGGCACAAGACCTCTGAACCGGGTTAGCTCTCTGCACGCTCTCCAGCCCCTCATTGTTCTAGGCTGCTCCCTAGGCGAACATGTAGCAAGTTTGGGGAAACCTCAGTTAGTAGCTGCGAGTTTCAACCACTCTCCACAGAGAAGCTGAAATTCTATTACTAAACTGGAGAGATTAAGTACTAAACACTGATCGCAAAGCTGGCCAGCGAGAAGAATTCGGCTTCCACCGCTGAGAAGTGGCTAGCTTTCTGCAAAGCAGCCCTGTACGGATCAGCCAATCCGAAAGCACAAGCGGGCGTGGTCACCAATTAAAAGACAGAAAAGGCGGGGCTGAAGCCGTAATTGGTACCTGGTCTTTTGTGGACACGCTGAAGCCTGGCAACGCCGCGTCTGAAGAGGCTTCAAATGGGGCGACCTGGCACTGGCTGCCATCTTTATTTCTGGCAAGTCGGCTGACTTTGGACGGGATCAGGGCCAACACCTGGGTACTATCCCGTTTCTCTAGGGAGGCCGTGAGCCCCACCCCTCACACGTTTCCCAGGTATCCGCGCGCTCCCCCGCCTCCGCCAGGGAGGCGGGGCCTCTTTTGGAGGGGTGGGTCCGGAACTAGAAGCCAGTTTGGAAGTCTTGAGCCTGTTTGGCGGGAAGTGGGCTTGTTTGGCGGGAAGTTGGACCAGTTCCCTGGTCCTCGCCTTTTTTTCTCCCCAGGGGCTTCTCAATCTTCCCTCCATAATCTCGGTATAGGGTATAGAACCGCTTCGCACGGAGGACGTGATGGCTCCCAAGAAGCGCCCAGAAACCCGGAAGACCCTCGAGGTGGTTGTGCGCCCCAAGAGCAACAGGAGCAGAAGCCCCCGGGAGCTGGAGCCCGAGGCCAAGAAGCTCAATGTGAAGGGCCCCGGTACTGCCTGCGCCTGCTGCTTTAATAATTCCGTCATTTGGGGTTCTTACGCAGGAGGCTGGAGTGGGGGATGGGTGCGTCTAGGTTTCCGAGGCTCTCCCAAATTTCAGATGCCTCACGCACGCTGTGCAGATTTTCTGCAGGGCTTTTGACACCACAGAGCTTGGGTTTAACTTCCCTCAGGTGACAGGGGAGACAGATGAGCTCCATTACATCAGACACAACGGACTTTTCAAATTCCTTGTTTGTATCAGGATTTTTACACACTGAGGACTGCTTAAAATAATCCTACCTTGCCTGGT